ATACAGTCCCTCGAGAGTATACAAACGTTATTGCCTTCTCTGGCCTATCCGGGGTCAAATCGTCCGACGTAGAGATGTCTTACTCAATACAAAAAAACAGGCGCATCCACCGCGCGTCAACTGCTTCACATTAACAAGTTTTACTTTCGCTCTGTCCAAAGAGATTCAAACGTGAACTGCCGAGTGGTTAGCGCCTTAACTTGATTGAAGGCATATATATGAGTGCCAAGCCTACTATCCATTTGTCCGTACTTACTCCGGCGCCTCTTCGTAATTAAAAGGATGTTTCAGATAAACAACCGATATAATGGTAAGAAGAAACTTACCAGTTGAGTGTGCTGCGAAGTCCCTGTTTAGAACCACTGGTGAATCATGATAAATTGGCGAAATCTTTTGATGAGATTGAAGACAGCATGATAGAGCGTCACTAAGGTATTTCAGTCAGCCCATGAAAGAGTACCCGCTGCATGCTGATTAGTGTGGCTGCTTTGACTGCTTGTTAGAGTCTTACCTGCTATTAGCTAGCAACCGAAAGTTAGTGAGTGGTGCAACTGCATGTTTGTAGATCAGACAGTCTCACGGTTGAGACCAGCCAAACAACCTTCCTTCAAACAAATACAGTGGCGAGAAACAAATCGACGTATCCATTCCAAACCGGGTTGTAACTCATCTAGCTGTAAAGATATGTAATTGGTATGGGCACAATCAGCTTACTATTTAGATTCTCTTTGAAAGATGGCGAGTTAAATTTGGGTCCAACTGATGGCAGTGTAGAGGGATATCCAGTCCAAGTTCTAGTGAGATTAACTGACTATCCGTGAGCAAAGACGACCTAACAAGTCAAGAAATTTTTACCCAATAACAGAATCTTTTAGTTAGATCTCCTAACGGCAAATCCAATAACTAACAATATGAAGTATCATCATTCGTCAAGTCCCAGCTCTTGCTTTATGGTGACTGGAACCGGTAAAGTTGGTTTTCAACAACCAGATTCGGTTGGTGATGTGGACTGCAGCCTGCAGACATCTTACTCTATACCGAACTTTTCGCGAAGAAATTCTTTCACTTGGACATTCCCTCCGCCCTGCGCAGAATCCGGAAACGACTCGACTTTGAGGCCCTCAAGAGAGCGTGCCCGGGACACTGAAAATATGGTCAGCTATGAGTGTCTTTTTGGGGCGTAGCAAAGTTTGAGACGGAGAGTAAGTTCCAACATCGCCAAGGCGTTGACTGTGTTTGCACAGAATTCACTCACAGGCAACGTAAGCTTGACCTTGCTCGAAGGATTTCGCAAGGTTGACAATGACTCGATTCAGTGTCATACCCTGCCAACGGTTAGGACTTCTCACTGTACAGTACAGAATTACGGACCTGGGATTTGTGCATGGTTATCGCCCACGCCGCCATGAGAGGAATTTGAGTTCTGGAAAGCAGACTGTGGGGTGCGTCGTCCCCAAGCTCATTCACCGTACAATCGGCGTAGATGGTGCGAGTAACTCCATTGAGAAAGGTGACAATTGGCCATGCTTTATAGCTCGCCCGGCTCACGTATTCTCGAATATGGTCTTCGCGCATTTGGGCATGGTCGCCACCCAGAGTGGGCACGTCACTCGCGTAAGAGTCCACCTCCTTCTCCCTAGCCTTACGTGAAGCCTGAGAGGCTTTCGGCATTTTCTTCGGATCGTATTCTTCAAACCCCTGAATGGTGCCTTGGGATCCGTTGACGAGGGCCGCGCCAATGTCGAGATTGGTAAGCAAGACAACGAGCATGCCTTTCTTGAGCTGCATATAGGACTCGAATCGATGATCGCTAAGTGCTCTAAGCGAGTCATCGGGGTTTCGAAATGACTTGCTCTCTAAATTGACATGTTTTTGGTTCCAGTGAAAATAATCCAAGCATCTGTACACTCGAGCTGTGGTGGGTAATTTAGCGAACATCTCATCGTTGACACGCTTCACCTCTGCCCGTGTTGCGAACAGCTTGATAGCATTTCTTGTCTCTGACTCGTGGTTCAGGAGTATATGCGTGTCAGTCACAAGCAGAGGATGACCCAGACGCAGTTTCTGAAGAATGTTGATAAAGACAACATCGCTCTGCCGGTGGATCTCGGTAAGGTTGACATGCTCAAAATTGCATTCCTGAAAAGTTTTAGCGCGAGTAAAATATTCTACAGGGAAACACTCACTTTCCACGCAGCACTTCGGAAGGCCCACTTGTCGATGTCATAGTATAGACCATGGGTACGGCATTTGTACTCTGTACCTTCTTTGATCGAAATGAGTTCCACTCCGCACTCAATACAATGCTGAAAAGGCTTGACCGGTGGTAGTTGACAGAACTGGGCATAGTCTCAATACGAGCATTGTAATCAATTCATCGGCAATACTCACATCCCCTGTTACAACAAGCTGCACCCCTCCGAATGCCCGTTGGTCATTTCGAGCTTCTTTCATGATAACATTGAGGCGCTCGAAATGAAGATTCTCCACCATGCTGATTTCGTCCATAACGAGAACGTCAGTCTCCCAGAGCCGCGCTCTAACAAATTTTCCATGAGCACGGGCCTTCAGTTCCTCCAATGGCTTCTTGTGAGAGTCGGGTGTCCATCCAGCATATGTCCATGTAGTGGAGCCATTAATATCCAGTGCTGCCCGTCCAGTTGGAGCAACGATCTTTACACGTTTGCCCAAGGCTTGGAAACGTCTATGGAAAGCTTTCAATACTGTAGACTTTCCACAGCCAGCCGAGCCTGTGTAAAACACGTTCTTGCCACTGACGATCAATTCCACAAGGTCATCCTGCTCCTTGCACAGTACTGGCTCGGTTATGGGTACGATGTCACTCGGGGTATCATTCTGATCGCTTGACACCATGCCTAGAGGTGGTGGTCTGCTAGTGTCCGTCTCTGATGACGTGTCACTCGACGGTATCTCAACTGGGGCATGCTGCGAGCCCGCAAAGCCAGATGGTGGGAATGGAGCCTTCGGTAGAGCGACATGTGGAGCAATCGGTAGCGGCTGCGACGGGCAATGCTTCTCAAGGCGGCTCTGGTTACTTGGGTTGGTCGGTGGCTTCATTGGAATGTCATCGTCGATTAGACTGATTACGTCAACCGGCCTCTGCACGGCATGAGTCGGGAATGATGCGCCAGAGGTATGATTTGGCATTGATGTAGACTGTACTGAGCTTGGATTTGCCGTACGAGTATGCTGTCTTTTGGATGAACCGTTGTGTCCGGAGTGGCCTTTACTCTTGTGATCTCTCTTCTTTGATTTCTTTAACCCCCGGCTACTTATAGAGACCTGGGCCTGTTCATGAGGATTCGCTATATTGTTCATGCTGGGGTTGACCTTCTCAGGCATATTGACCTGAGTCACTGCAGCATCGTGTGGGAAGGCTTGTGGTTGGGGTGTCGAGTTACACGGGGCTGGCCTGGTGGCGACCGGCGCAGGCAGGATGGAGCGGTAGAGGTGATGCGATCTGGACGGCGCCGTTGGAACGGTGTATAGGTGAGGCGATTGATAAGGACTGTCGGCCAGCGGCCCAAAACGTTCCGTCCCGACGCGGTTGGAAACCGACGCGGCCGAAGCGCGCTAGACACGCGACGGTCACGCTCTGAGTCAGTGCCCCGCAGACCTAAAATCCTTTTTATCGATAGAACCTTAACCTCACCCAAGCTGACATCACAGCCCACGATTCACATCAGTGCAAGAAATAGATACGATTCCACCGTATGCTTCAACACGATCTGTTGCGGTTATGAGGAGAAGCAGATCCTGTGCTGGTGTTCTGGTGCTACTTCCTCACTTATCGAGTACCTCTTACCTCAGCTGCATTACAGATACGTCATGTAAATAGACCCCGCTGCTAGCCCTTTGAGAGGGCAGCACGAACACAACAGAACAATACACAATACTTTTGTTTTCACTGCATTCTACACTGCGACACGATCTCGGTACCTCGGACAGCATAGGAGCCATCCGGAAACACATGAAATTACTACTTTAACGTGATGTAGTAGGGCTCCCGCCCCTATCGTTCTCGAAATACGTATTGAGGTCTCCCGCATCTCTCCACTGTACCATCTTTCCCAATAATTGTCCACCCGCCCAAGTTCGGCCGACCACCTCCTACCATCTCATTGTTACACTCTTCATGCAGGCAGGCTGTTCATCCCGCTTACCTTACAGTGTTGGTGCTAACAGCAACGCTGCGCACACAGCTTGACAACTACCAAAGGCAGTGTTGCAAGCGATAATTGTGGGAGGGGCAGAAGCACCCATTGTTGCTCCCCAGGTACACCCAGCGGCTGCGTAGCACGCCATAACAATTTTAGCGCATCCGCCTTGACACGCGCCGTAGGCGGCCGGTCCAGCTGAGACGGAGCCAGCGAGCAAGATGAGAACGGATGAAAGGCGCATTATCTTCAGATCTAGGAAAGTCAGCCACTTAAACAGTGATTATCGCCAAACTATACCTATTGTCTTGCGTTGCGTCTTGTATCTCAGGAATGAATAGCAGGATGATGTGAACAGGATGCGGGGTATGACTGGTTTCTATATTATGGAGGCATTGCGTTATACAGAGAAAGTTTGCGCAAGCAGTTCATAGCAGGCCTTCCTTTGTTCTTGCGTTATACAGTCCCGGTTGCTTTTGAAGAAGGAGCCAGATGAGGAAACCCAAGGCAGGGCACCTCGCTCTTTAACAGCCTCGTTCACCTTAACCTCAACCTCTTTGAGATTAGTGCACTAGAATCCTTACTCTGAAGGTTTATGTCAAAGTTTATCGCCGTTAACAGCTCCTGAACTTAGTTGTTGCACACTGATGATCAGATAGTGTGCTGTTTGGACAAATCCTCTGCTGTGCTAGAGCGGTAACAAGCTTTGCCGAAGAGAGACAAACTGCTAAAAAAGATTGACCTCGTAGAAACACAGGGCATAAAAAAGGTGCGGCAAACGAAGAGCCAACGGCCTAAACTAAAAGCAAAAAAGATGTGTAATGGTCACTACGAGGGTCGAACTCGCGACCTTGGCGTGTCACAGAGAAGATCTATTAGCACCACGCTCTAACCAACTGAGCTAAGCGACCTGGTTCTGATTTATGTGAAATTTTGGAATGAAATAATTTATAGCCTAACGACTTAAATGCGCCGAGTGAGATAGCCGTGGTCTCCCACTTGTAACGTCACCAATTTTGAAGTTCCCCACTTGAGTTCCCCCACTTTACTGATACACGAAAGTCTTCGATTCATGCCTAAACAGGTATAGGGCTGACTCAGAGTACCAACTCACCTGCAGCCGGCCCGCGGGCCTGGCCACTGTAGCAGATTCCTCACTATCAATTTAACCACGAATGCCTTACATATGTCCTCCAGCTATATCTATTCAAATTTCTGCTAATACGGATAAGCCATTCTCCAAGAATATTGTGTATCCGTGGGAGTTTTATTGAATATTGATGCCACAGACAGATAACTATCAAACAGACTCACTCCATCCACTTATATCTTCTACACAACACCAACAACATACATGCACATATACACACCACTGCCAAGATCTCAACATATACCTTACTTATTTTCTATACATTTCACCGCCCATCCTTGCGCATAACGCATGAGTCGATGCGGATCACGTCGCGCTGAGAACCTGGTGATCCACATCCACTTACCTGCCCTGGACGAGAGTACGGTAGCTATGAAATAGAGAGGGTACCTTAGCAGATAGACGACCGCTCGCTAACCATCTAAGCCTCAACAACTAATCACTTCCTGGTTCCGAGAGAAAGCAATTTCGAGTTACTCCATCTGCATCTGGGCAATAGCCAGAATAAAAGACCAGTATCAAGTTGAACGTGGAAAGGAAATATGGTCGTCCAGCACAGCTTGAGATGGAACTGGAATGAGGCATCCTGGTGTTAGCACGATTTAAGGTGGTACATACATTATGAACGATACTAGCGTTTGATTAGGTTAGTCTTAGCTAGTCAACGACCTGCTTTTGCACAAGTCCACACTAGCTTGAGCCTTGTCCGTATGAAGATCGACGGGACCTAGATTGAACTGGAAATCCGCGCTAATCCTATTTCATGGTACGAGCGCGAGCATTTGAACCACAACCCCGATCATCTTCTAATCTTCTAAGCCCTCGTGTTGTCTTCACTTCGCAACCAGACCCAGCCTATACGAGTTGTTCCTGTTAGAAATATCGTGTCAGGATCTTTACATGGGCTCGATCGCTGTAGGAGGCCTGTCAATCTACCCAAGCTTTCGCGTTGCCAGACATGTACTACGGAGCGATGAGTAAAGGCTGCCAGCGCTGTCGCCAGCGCAAGGTCAAGGTAAGCTGAAACCAGTCATTTCGCTGTCCAATAACTCACAAGTACCTAGTGTGATCAGCGAAAGCCGGCCTGCTTGAGATGCGAGAAAGCAAAGTTCGTATGTCCTGGTTTTCGGGATCTATCCGACGTTATATTCCGGAATGAGACTGGACGAGTAATTCGACTAGCTCGTGCTTCTCAAGCTGAAAGCCGGTTCGGTTGGCAGGTAGCAATAAGTCATCAGCCTTCACTCTTCACAACTACACAGCTATCTCCTCCACCTATCAACGAAGTTGGGGCGGGATTCTTTTTTTCTAATCTCACATGCGACGAGCCCCCTTTCTCCAAATCCTACCATGCTTGGCTAGTTGGTCTGTATTACAATAGCTGTCCCAATCCTGCTCTCCGGGACGCCATCGAAGCGGCTGGCATGGCGGCTATGTCGAACAAGTTTTATGAACCTGCTGTTGCGTCAAAGTCGAAAGAGCTCTACGGAAAAGCTCTGTCAGCTACACGGCACACTTTGGGTGACTCAGGACTATCACTCACGGATTCCACACTGCTAACCGTCATCATACTGGGTTTGTTTGAGGTGAGCTACCCCACATTGGAAAGCCTGCATTGACTCACTTGCAGACAGTTCATTACAATCGAAACCCTCAGAAGTTCCGGTTGTTGGGAGGCCCACTTAACAGGTGCTAGAAGCTTGCTTAGGTTAAGGAGTGAAGGACAATACACCGAAAAACGTGGCGGGCAACTGCTCGCGCACATCCGTTCTCAGACCGTGAGTTACCTCCATCCGTGATTGACACAAGGGTTGAACGTGCCAATTTTTAGCTCTTCACTTGTCTGCAGTACGACGTACCGCCACCCCAGGACCTGCGCGAGGTATGTTTTAACTTCGAATGGAGAGCTACGGGCGAACCGGTTCCCAGGATCCCAAGAGCCTCCATTGGAGACATGTACTTCAAATACCTTGACCTTCGGGCAGCTATGAGAAGTGGCGAAGGTATTGATCCTCTAACCATTCGGACGGCGTTAATCGAAATGGATCGTGAGCTAGAGGCGTGGAAAACAAGCCTGCCACCAAGCTGGAAATATACAACGGTGAAATGCGACGATACTTGTGTGAGTGCTTGTTTCAACGGGACGCGACACACTTATTATAACGCTTCGATCGCCCAAACATGGGTCAATTGGCGATCTCTGCGAGTACTTGTCGGCCGAATGAGACTGGACGAAAGAACACAGTGTGCTGAGCCAGAGCAAGACCACGGGCAGCCGTCTATACATCTCATACGAGAGATTTCCTCTGAGATTTGTACCTCCACTTCCCATCTCATCTCATCTCCTCGTAAGTATCTTGCGACAATTCCACAGGGCTGTCGCCTGACTGAACTTTTTAGGTGCGGCCGGTCTGATATGGCCACTCTCGGTCGTTGCCCGGGAGACTTTAAACGATCGGAACGAGCGGTGTTGGGCAATAGAGCAACTACGTCATATTGGAGCCTCCATAGGTATCCGACAGGCCATTCTATCGGCCGACGAAGCGTTTCGATGCCTTTAAAGGATAGCGTCTCTGAAGATAGCTCTGCGCATTCTAGGTCAGTTGTATAGCCATTTTGAGATTGAAGCCTTGCGTACATGTGCAAAGACTTTTGACAGCCACATTTTATCTTGCATTATGTACGGAGTCCGATTCACTGCTTGAGTTTTTGCGATAGTGAAATGATGTAAAGGTGTGAAACCGCTGTGGATCAACAGCGGGATGATTGTTGGCTTAGTCAGCGCTGCCTTATCGATAGTGGGGTGGCTAAGCCAGCAGGCAGCCCTGAGCTCACTCGTTAAACTAACGATACAACACCTAACAACCATAACCATGGCTCCAAACGTAGAGCAATCCGAGTTCTTCGAGAAGAAGAGACTCGGTGGAATCCTTATAGTCAAAGGTGCATACACTACGCGTGTGCAGACAATAGTGCTGACCTGTATCATCAGATCCGCCCAAGTTCGATCTCGACTCCTACATCTCCAATTACGAGGGTACGACCTACAAGACACCCATACTCTGATTGAGCGCACTCTGAACTCTAACAGGTTTCACTCGCCTCGACCGTCTCCACTACATCGGCTCCAGCTCGATATATCTTGCCGTCGAGGCATACCGAAGCGCTATTACAGAGGCAAAGCGAGGCAAGAATGTCGAGCTATACCAAACATTAGTCAAAGAGCTAGCTACAATATCGCCTAGCGACCCAGCAGCTTTTCCAGACGAGGCCTGGGTGGAGAAGAAAACACGCGATGTCAAGGAGGAGCTGGACCGACTAGACCATGAGCTCAAGTCGTATAAGAACAACTTGATCAAAGAGAGCATACGGGTGCGTAATGGATACACGATTTCACCTGTATGAACTGCCGCTAACTGGGCTGTGCAGATGGGCAACGAAGACATGGGCCACTTTTACTTCGCGTGCGGCGACTATACCGAGGCCCACAAGTCGTATTACCGCATGCGCGAGCATTGCACCTCCGCCAAACACCTCGCCAATATGACGCTCCGTCTCGTATACGTCAGCATTGCACAGAAGGCCTGGATGTCTGTCCAGGCACATCTGGCGAAAGTGGACGCTACACAACTGAGGCTCGAGGAGCGGACCAAGCTCGACCCGATTCTCTCGGCAGTCTGCGGCCTAGCTCATATGTGTGTAGGCAACCTCCGAGACGCAGCGACACAATTCATCAGCACAGCCTCACTGTACCTAACTACAGAACCAGCCGGAGGAATCTTTTGGCAGAGGGAAGTTCTATCAGGCAATGACATCGCCGTGTACGGTGGACTTTGTGCTCTCGCGACCATGGACCGCAGCGAGCTCCACCACAACGTCCTGGGCAGCAGCGAGTTCCGCAACTTCCTAGAACTAGAGCCGCACATCCGCCGCGCCATCACCCTGTTCTGCAACTCAAAGTACAGTGCCTGTCTCGAAATCCTCGAGGAATACCGAGCCGACTATCTCCTGGACGTCTACCTATCGAAGGTTCTTGCAATCATCTACGGCCGCGTCCGGACCGAGAGCATCGTCCAGTACTTTATTCCCTTCAGCTGTGTCACCCTGGACGAGATGGCCACCAAGTTCCATCTCACAGGCGAATACGCCACTATAGAGGACGAGCTGGAAAGCTTGATCAACAACGGCACTCTCAATGCAAGGATAGATCTCGTTGACCGGCTTCTCGTCTCACCCCCGACCAACCCGCGCTACGACGTGCACACGGACGCCTTAGCGATGGCGGAGACGTACGACCACACACTGCGACTGCGCTTAACACGTCTGAGTATGTTGGCGGCAGGCATGGAGGTCCGACCGGAGAAAGGTCAGCATAAGGACATGTCGTCAGGGGGTCATGACGGGTTTGCCGGGACGATGAAGAGCTTAGGGCACAAGATGGGGTTTTAGTATCGGTCCATGAAACGGGACTCAAAGTCTTTCATGAGCAAGTACGGGCATTTATAGGCGTTCATCTCCACGGCGTAGAGTGGTCATTGGCGCCCCTTCTGATTAGCATTCGGAGTCCCGCGAGCAATGAATCATTGACGAACGATTCCGTATGGAATTTGAACCCCTTTATTATAGTTGCAAGACGTAGTCTTGAACCGAGTCCGAGTATCCCAATGATCCTGATACTATATTACCTTCGCCCACCACGCGCTCTGTGCCACAAGCACTTAGGGAACCCCTCTATTCTTGGACAGACAATCCGTCCGTAAT